GCGGGGCCCGGAGGGACGGGGAGGAGCTCGGAGGGGCGGGGCTCGGAAGGGCTTGGAAGGGTGGGGACTCAGGAGGACCAGGCTGGGGCTGGACCGGGGAGCGGGACGGGACCATGCCCTGGGCCTTGGGTCACCCCCGGGACAGACAAAGCTCTGCAGCGCCCCGGGCCCGCCCGCAGCGCCCCGTCCTGGGCTCATCTTGCATGCCCTCCGTGGTCCGGCTCCTGTCGAGGCCACAGTCCGTCCATCTTCCACCTCATGTCCGTGTCCTCCCAGTCCTCTTTTTTTATTTTTCTGCCAGTCCTGGGGCTTGAACTCTGGGCCTGGGCGCTGTCCCTCAGCTCTTCAGCTCAGGGCTGGCGCTCTACCACTTGAGCCACAGCGCCACTTCCGGCTTTTTTTGTGCATGTGGGACTGAGGATCGAACCCAGGGCCTCACGGTGAGGCATGCGAGGAAGCACTCTGCCGCTGAGCCACCTTCCCGCCCTGCTCTTGCTTCTTGACCCTCCTGTGGCGGCTTCTGCGGTACCCAGGGTGCGGCCCTGCAGCCCCCGCCGCCTGCACCGGCATCGGGGCTCAAGGCACCCCAGCAGTTGGCTTCAGGAGAGAGCACAGAGATGGAGAAGGCATAGAACGAGGCTTCTCGTAAACAGAAAACATGCAGCACATCACCATGCTGTCTCTCAGTATTCTAAATCGGATTTGTTCTTTTTGGTGTGGCTTGAACTCAGGGCCTTGAGCTTGCTATTCTTTCGTGGCTGGTGCTCTACCACTTGAACCATACTTCTACTTCCTGCACAATGTCAGATTGCAGCTAGGATTACAGGTGTCAGCCACCAGTGCCCAGCACAGGACAGCTTTGACCTTTCCCTGCTGACACATTTCCTAACGGCATCCATCCATGTACTGTTGGGATGCAAGTTTGTCTTCTTCCTCCACTGCAGATTATGCTGGAATAAACATTCTTAAACTGAATCGTGTCCACTGTGTGTGATGTACACAGGGCAGCCTTAAGAAGGGGAACTGACAAAAACATCAAAATAAAAGGTTCCCTCTGTGGACAGTGCCTTCTCCCGCCCACCCGCAACCCGGGCAACACCTGGCTCAGGAGACAATGGCTCATCCTGGCCACAGCCAGTGGCGGTTTTGGACATGTGACTTGCTATCTGCCTTGTTAGAGTGCCGGTCCTGGCCTTGTGCAAGGACTCTACCAGGGAGGTTGGGGACAGCAGCACTGTACTGACTAAATAAACCACACCGAGCAGCCGTGAGGCGGGCCCGGGAGGGGGGGCGTGTGCAGTGAAATCGGTGTCTTCACCCCAGAGAGTTTCACGTAACCATGAATGTGTGCGTGGACACTCTTGGCCCAGGACTCATGGCTTCATCCATGGGTGGAGCTGTGGAACCCTGACCCTCTCCACTGGACATGGGCCTCGGCTCTGGTTGCTGGCTCGAGGTCCTTTCCAGGCGGCGTGGGCCTGGCTTGAGGTACATTTGGCTTTGACAGGAGCTTCTGGGCTATTTTTCAGGTGGAGATGGGGCTACTGGGGGTGGTGTGGATGTGTTAGTTACCTTGCTCCTCCTCCTGCCACTTTCAGCAATCTCCTGCCTCAAAAGGTCTTTGAACTCAGGGATGTAGGTTATCCGTGAGCTTTTTCACTCATGGTTAGTGCTCTACCCCTTGAGCCACAACTCCACTTCTGGTTTTCTGGTGATTAATTGGAGATAAGTCTCATGGACTTCTTCTGCCTGGACTGGCTGTAAATCGTGATCCTCTGATCTCAGCTGCCTGAGTAACTGAGATTACAGGTGTGACCGGGTCTTGAGTAGTCCTTCCTGCTTAACCTGGCTTCCTCTCTGTGGCTTTCCATCAGCCAAGCCCATAAACTAGGCCTGTCCTGGAGCCCTCCAGGTTGCCTGGACTCTGGGACCCCTTCCTGAAACTGATGGAGAACTCAATCCTGAGCCAAGGAAAGGAAAGCTGCAGCGTGGTGATGGACTGGTGGAAGCCAGTGCCAGGCGTAAGGGCCATCGCCAAGACTCCGCCAGCTCCATCCCAGGAGGCCGACTCTCCCACTGAGCACAGGAGGCCACAGCAGCAGCACTGCAAACAGCTGGAGAATCAGGGAAGGAGAACACACAATAAACTGAGTCCCATTCTACAGCATCCAGGTTTGGTTTTATTGTAGAATTTATAAAATTCCAGTGTCATCCACATTTATGAGCCTTTACACATATTTGCATATAATCTCCAAATTCCAAAGTTAAGGCCAAGGGATGGATGTTTCCATGGAAACAGAGGGCATGGAAGACATCAACAAGGAGGAAAAGCTCCGCCCACCCCTGCTCAGCCCCAGCAGTTCAAACTGCAGGGGGTCAGCCTGGTACAGTCATTTCACGGAGCTCAGAAACGACTGAAAAGAAGGCCCTGAACAGCTTTGGATGGGACTCACATCAACAGCACTTGGCAATAAATGGAGACGTGTTCAAAAATTACCTTCTGGGAGAAAGGAAGGGACTATTGGAAGAGGAGAGGTGGGGGGGGGGTACCAGAGGAGCAGGGGAAAAGGAAGCAATATGACCAACAGGAAAACACCTCAAGCTCATGCAGCCCTCCCTCAAGGCCCCCAGGAGCAAGGCCCCTCTGGGGACTGGCGGGAACCCTGGCCTTTGCTCCTGGTCCCATCTGCCCAGCCTCAGGCTGGCTGCTACCCAGCTACGCAGATGCTGTACCGTAAGTGGCGACCTCTGGTGTGCTTAAGACCAACTCAGAGCAGAGACCATCCCTAGGGGCTAGGGAACGGGCACAAGTTGGCTGTCTAAGCAGCCCACACATCAGGGGCAGGACACTTACGATGGCTACTAAAGCACGTCTTCAGTCCCCACTGTGGCCTGTGGACCCTGATTGTATCCCAGCCACACCGAAATGGAAGAATCTACCGAGGCTGGGAGGGTCCTCTGCCTCTTACTTGGCTTCTTTTTGCAATAAGCGAACCAACAGCTTCTCTTTACTGAAACCAGGACTGTGACACCTGTCTCTAAAGCCAGCAACCTGGGATCAGTGCCTGTGGCCTGCCCAGCTTGAGCCTTCGAGGGCCAGGCACCTGGGAGCCGGGAGGGAGAGAGCATTCTATGCGGGACCAGCCTCCAACCCTGCTCCATTCCACACCCAACTGCAGCCAGCCAGGACCAACCACACTTGACCAGCCTCCAACCCTGCTCCAGTCCACACACAGGGCCCACATCCAACTGCAGCCAGTCGGGACCAACCACCAGAAGGCAACTTGGGGGAGGGAAATAAACTACGCACGACAACACTACCGCACTGCTGAGGTAGAAAGAAGGCGACTGAACACAAGGTGCCCGGGCTGCGCCACGGGGGGCAAGTGGAGATGGCATCAGAGGCAAGCAGCCCCCACCCAAGGGGAAGCAGGCTTCCTGCTCCCTGCCACAGAAGGCCGGGGAGCAGACACGCGCGGCCCCACCTCCACCGTGGAGCCGAGGCCTGCAGGGACGTCGGACCCACAGGGGTACGATCGGTGCTGGACACCCTGGTCTCCAGCCTTGGCCCCCCACCCTGTGGCCTGAGCTAAGCAGACTTTGGCAGTTAGAGGAGCTGACTGTGTTCCACAAAGAAGGTCTGGTCGACAGAGAGCCCGTGGGAAGGAGGTGGGAAAGGAAGAGGGCAAACATTTTGGCTTTTATAAAGTCAAGGAAATTTATTTCCTGAGGTCATGACACAGGAAGTCGACTCCTAGCCGCTGCTGTGGAGCTCTGGTAATGGAGGTCAGAGTGCTGACTGCATGCTGGGTGGGCCAGGAAGCTGGAGTCTGTGTTATCAGGAGATGCTCAGTTACTTTGCTTAGTGTTGAAAAGTGTGCCTGTCCCAGAGCACAGTGCCAGGGGCAGGTGGCTGAGCCCACTGGCTGCCAACCAGGCTTCACTGCGAGACCTCGGGGAGGGGGAAAGAGCGTCAACAATTTACCAGGGTCCAGCTGCTGGGTCAGATTGAGACAAACCGTGGTGTGGCTAGGTTCAGGTCAGCAGGCTGGAGAGCTTTCTGCCTTTTGTTCATTATCGCTTGGGCCCCCAAGGGAGGGTCTTAGGGGCCACCTGAGCCCCAAAGCTGGGAAATTCCTCAGAGCTGCTCATATCGGGAGCCTGTAGAGCGGGAAGACACAGCTTTAGCCTGGCACGGCTCTCCCGGCTTGAGCGGTTCCTGAAGCCACCGCCGTGACCCCAGGAAGCGCAGGAGACACACTTTCCCCTGCTCCTCACTGGTTCTTGGGCCATCGCCAGCCAGCCCCCCTCCCAGATGGGAGGAAGTGTCACCTGACCTTCTCACTGCTGCTGGCAGTCCAGGGAGCATCCCGCACCACGAACCCCTTGGAGGGGGCCTTGTATTCCTCGTGTGCCGGGGGCTTCATGTAAACCTGCAGGGCCTCGCTGTCCACCACGTCGGCCAGCTACAGGGGTGCAGGGTGGTGTGGGTCAGTCTGGAGCCCAGGTCAACCGAGCCACCCACCAGCTCACCCCTGTACCACCCTGTCACCTCTGGCCGGCCAGGACCCAGGCCATGCGGAGCAGGCTGCCTCATGCAGCCCCGCCCACCCAGACTCACCCCTGCGCCTCCCAGTCTCCTCTGGCCAGGACCCAGGCCATGTGGAGCAGGCGGCCTCATGAGGCCCCGCCCACCCAGGCTCACCCCTACGCCTCCCCATCTCCTCTGGCCGGCCAGGACCCAGGCCATGTGCAGCAGGCTGCCTCATGAGGCCCTGCCCACCCAGACTCACATATTCCTCCTCCAAGTTAAGGATGTGGTCGATGGCTTCCTCCACGTTCTCCGGGAGCCCTGTCACAGTGACGCAGTTGGGATCTGGAGCTCCACTCTGCGGAAAGCGAATGTCCACCTGGAAGACACAGGACCGCAGAAGGCATCTGAGAGGGCTCTGAGTTCACAGACACTTGGGGGCGGCCGCTTCAGCGTGCAGGTCCATGTTGTCTGTGCGACCCCACCGGCTGAAAGCAGAGTGCCCCAGATGTGCCCACCGACCCCTCCTGCGCCTGCGGTGACTCCTCAGACAGGAACCACCGGGCTACCGCTGTCCTGACAAAGCGTGGACCCTCAACTCTGAGCTTCCAGTTGGCTCTGGGGCTCACCTTGAACTCATCCATGATTTTGCGGATGGCTTTGCCCCGGGCACCAATGATGCGGGCATGGACACGGTGGTCCAGCGGGACGTCCTCAGAAACCATCTGCTCAAGCTCACCCACAATTTTCAAGATGGCATCTCGGGCAGCTTCTGTGTTCTTCTCATACCCCGTGATGGTGATCTGGTCCTGGGCCTCAAGAGAGGAGAACGCAGTCAGAGAGGGGAGGCTCTCTGGGTCAGAGGGCCCAGCACACAGGCCGCCCGCCCCTCGGGGAAGGCATCGGCACAGGTGTGTGTCGCGTGGCTGATGTGACACAGCAGGTTAACCATGTCTGATCAGTGCCAGTCCTTTAACACCACCAAAAAGACAGTCAAGACACAAGAGCAGAAAGGCAGCCGACCACAAAAATGGAGTCCAGACAGTAGGTACAGACAGAGACCACTGTGGAACAGAGGCTACGCCCCTCAGCCTCTACTTTGCGCCTGCCTGAAGGCGCACCCACTCTCACAGAGCACCCATCCCTCAGAGCTTGCCTTCTTCCCCAGCTCTCCCCAGCTCCCTGACCCCCAGTTCAGGCCGCTCATCTCACACAGGTGGGCACCACCACATTGGAAAGAAGGGAGCAAAGGCATACAGGGCATACAGAAGGAGCCGTGTAAACAACATAGCTGTAACCCCTCATCCTCACAACAGTGGAAACAGGTTCACAGCAAAACACTCTGAGTAGGGCCACAGAACAAAAGCCTGGAGGTAAGCCAACATGTCCCAGGATCTGAGAGGGAAGCAAGGGACACTCAGGGGATCGGAGAACAGCAGCTGGAGACCCTGCTGTCCAAATGAAGGCCAGGTGGTAGAGGAGGTAGGTTCGCTGGGGGCAGGCACGGCGGACACCTCCTCCAGCAGGGGTCTGAGCGGCTGCACGTGGGAAGTCTGAATATGAAAAAGATGTGCTCGTGCAGTCACTGCCCGTCATGAAGATTACCTAAAACAGCCTCAAGGGAAGACCAGGCCTTTTTAATCGTGAGTAAAGCAGTGGTACTCACTAGACACTGTGCTGAAAATGAACCATGCAACTTGCTGGCAGGGACGGGAGGGAAAAAACTGGGAGAGAGTGGGGGATAGGGTGGCACTGCCCCCAAAGTGACATACTCATCACCTGACTTATGTAACTGTCACCCCTCTGTATATCACCTTTATAGTAAAAGTAAAGCCACTAAAAAATTTAAATACAAATAAAAATTGGGGGCTGAGAATGTGGCTCAGTGGTAGAGGGCTGGCCTTGCATGTATGAAGCCCAGGTTTGATTCCTCAGCAACACACACAAGGAAAAAGCCAGAGGTGGCACTTGGCTCAGGTGGTAGAGTGCTTGCTAGCCTTGGGAGCAAAAGCAGCTCAGGAACAGTGCCCAGGCCCTGAGTTCAAGTGCCAAGACTGGCCAAAAAAAAAAAAAAGGGACGTGGTACAGTAGACTTGCTCTCCTGGGCTCAGTGGCCCTGGCCATCAGTTTGTTGGACTACAGTAGTGTTGATCAGAGCTGGATCACATCCAAAAGCAGCACTGGCAGCAGGACAGCCAAGCTTAAGGGAGAGAGGGACCTGGAAGTCTGTGTGAGTGGAGGTGGAGGTGAGACGGGGCTGCCCTACCCGCTCCACTTCATGTGAGTGCAACAGGACGCACCAGAGCTGCAGAGAAGGGAGACGCTGGAGGACAGCTGTGCATGCCGGGGCAAGGCGCAGGAAGGCCCCGCTGGCATATGGCGTTGAAACCTCATCCAGAATGCAGGCACTAAACCCTGGCTCAGCCTCAAGCTAAAATCAGACCACAGAAGCCCTGCCCGGTCCGGGCCCAGGGGGAAGCTAGGGCGGCAAAGCCCACACACGCCAAGTGCTCCCCGAGTCCCAGGAGGGCCTCCCCCTCACCTGGCTCCCGTCATCCTTATCAGGAAACTGGATGTTCACATCGTGCTCCAGGCGGATCTGCGTGATGACTGCCCCCTTCCGCCCAATAATCTTGGGATGGTATTTGGGGTCTACAGTGACACTCAGCTTAAAACTCCGTAAAGCCTATGAAAGAAACAAGGGAGGAGAATGAGGTGGAGAGCACTCCATCTACAACTAAGCCAGGTGCACCCACAGCCATTCCAGTGCAGCCTTGACAAACACCAGCTAGATATCCCCAAACCCTGCTTACAGCTGGCATTTAGCACTTTTGACCCTAAAGAGCCAGGCACCTCCTCTCTGCCTGACTCCTGCCACACTTCATCATCTGTCCAAGTGAGCACCAGAGACCCTGACCACTCACACCCACTCCAGGTGATGCTGTGTTTGAAGCAGGCTGCTATGGGAAGGCCAGCACCTGTCCTCAGGAAGCTCAGGGCAGGAAATGAGCTGCTCAAGCTCTTGGTGCTACACGGAGAACTTGCCAACTACAGTTAAGATGAATCAGTTTAAGGAAAACATTCTGAATCTTTCAGGATTTGGTATGAAAAAGGCCAAGAGTGTCCAGGGAATAGACAGCTGTGGCCCCCCATGGCCTGAGGTGGGATCTGGCTAGAGTCCAATTCAGGGCAGGGTCACAGCATGCGAGAAGGCTTTGAGGCTTCAGAATTGTCACGTCACCAGACTGTTCTGGTGGGAAAACACAACTTTATTCCCTTAGAAGGGCCAAGCTCTTTTAACTTTGCCTTCCACACAAAGGGCTCCAGGGTGTTGTTAGTGTGTTGTTAGGACCGCACAGCAGGACCCGCAGGCCTCCCTATGGGTCCAGGAGTCTGAAGTGTACTGGGCTGAGGGCCCAGCCGCAGAAAGCCTCCGGGGCGTGTGACGACGCTGCCGCCTGGGGCCCACGACGGCTTACCCGGTCCTCCTGCTCAGCCTGCAGCTCCTTCACTCGCTCCAGCAGCCCGGCCTTGGCCCGGCCCAAATTCGCAGCCAGGCCAGTGATGGCAATGATGTCAGACTGCAGCTCAGGAGCCGGGACGTGTATATTCACCTGTGTGGTCAGACAGGAATGAGTCTACGTGGTGGGCCTGGGACTCGGAGGAGGGAGAGTGTGGAGAGCCGTGAGGGAGAACTGGAGGGGAGGTCAGTGCTCAGTCAGGAGTCAGCAGAGGCGCGTGAACTGATCAGCAACAGCACTTTGAAGGCCAGATGGGAGAAATCTCCAGCGACTCCAAGGACAGGAGCTTACCTCAAACTCATCCATCATCTTTCGGATCCCGCTGCCTTTCTGCCCAATGATGTATCGGTGAAGGTCAAAGGGCACCTCCACTTCAATGGTGACTGGAACCAATGCCTGCAGAGGAAGACAGTGAAGGCTGGCCAGGAGTAGAGGGCAGATTTCCAGCCCCACGAGCCTGAGGACAAGAGTCTTTCTGCAACCTTTTGTCAGTGTGCCTATGCTACCTGGACCGCTCATGAAGAACAAACACAGACACAGTCTGAGGAATCAGCCTGTACCCCAACGGGAAGAGGTAGGCGCAGGACACAGCCACATCTCTGATGCTATGTCGGCCGTGGCAAAGAGACTCTCCTGGACAGCTCCTGCTTAGACTCACGGACCACTGCGCACCTTTCTCCATTGTGGTACCACAGTGCTTCTAACAGGACCCAACACAGGGCCACTGCTCAACAAGTACCCGCCCCACAAATGACTCACAGTTACGTGAAGCCTGAGCTAGATTACACCCACTTCAGGAGTCAATGGATCCTGAGACCAATCACATACTGCTAACGAAACCTCTCCACAGCCCCCCTGCCCAGGGCCCAGAGCTGGGACCAGCCGCCTGTGGTCCATGGGAGGAGCTGTACACTCCAGGTCCTGGAAAGGGAAGTGGCCACCCTGGCTCTGTGACAGCTGAGCACGGCCACAGTCTGTGTCAGCACACTCGGGCCAGGCGGGAAGCTCCGCCCTTGGGGAGCAGGGGGACAAACGCACCTCAAGGGCTTCCTTGGCGGCTTCACACTTCTCCTTCCGGCCTGAGATGATGATGATATCGCACCTCCTGGGAGAGCCAGGATCTGCCTCTCTGCCCTCCCCGGCCTCATCGCCATTCTCCTGGATGGCTTGCTCTGCACTCTGCCCTGGAGAACAGGAAAAGCAGCCAGTGGACAAGGGCCCAAAGATGCATGTGTGTGGCAGCCAGTGTCATGTCGTGAGCACATTCAACGCCTGTCAAGACCCGCTTGGGCCTTGGGGTGGGAAGACACTTGCTCTTGGAGGCTGCTAGGGCAGGGTGGGGGCAAGGAGCCAAGCTTAGCTCCCTCTCTTACCTTTAAAACAGTGAACAGGTAGCCCCCTCCTGTGTGCCCGTGCACACGTGGGCATGCACATTCCCCCCCTGCCCTTTTTTTGGTGCTGATCCTGGGGCTTAAATTTAGGGCTGGGGCACCATACCTGAGCTTTTATGCTCAAGGCTAGTGCTCTACCACTTGAGCCACAGCTCCTCTTTCAACAGTTTGTTGGTCAATTGGAGATAATAGCGTCACCAACTTTCCTCAGATCTCAGCCTCAGCAGCTAGGGATACAGGCGTGAGCCGTCAGCGTCTGGTGCTCCACCCCTTTTCTCAACTAACAGAGCCATGTTAACAACCTAAGACTTGAAGGAGATAGCAGTGATCAGCCCCACAGCGTGTGTGGAGCCTGACCACGAGGCAGAGTGCACCAGGGCAAGGGACTGCCACGCAGTCAGGTCCGGGGAGCAGCCCTGGACAGCATTTGAGAAATCTGAGAGTGTATTCAGGGACAGGTCAGATTCTAACTTAAGGAAGTAGAATCCAAAATGAGGCCATCAGAACAGGGAGGCTGGCAGGAGGCTCTGAGGAAATGTGTGCACCAAATACTTGCCCAGACAGCATCTTTCCTGGCATTTTGGTGGTTACTTACGATGAGAGCCTCATGGACTTTGCCTACCTGGACTGGCTTGGAATCCAATCCACAGACAGATCTCAGCCTCCTGAGTAGCTGGGACTACAGGAGTGCGTTACCAGGCAGCGCTCTGCAGGACTCCGCTTAAAGACTTTAAGTCAGAGCTTCCTGTTTGCTATGCAGCCACTCTGCCACTTGAGCCATAACCTGATCCCCTTTTCCTTTTCTTTCTTTCCCCAGTCCCGAGGCTTGAACTCAGGGCCTGGGTGCTGTTCATAAGCGTCTTTTGCTCAAGGCTAGCACTCCACCACTTGAGCCATGGTGCCACTTCTGGCTTTTTCTGTGTATGGGTACTGAGGAATGGAACCCAGGGCCTCAGGCATGCAAGGCAAGCACTCTACCACTGAGCCACCTTCCCAGCCCCCCTTTTTCCTTTAGTCCTATGTGCATAGGGTCTCTTGTTTCTGCTGAGGCTGGCCTGGATCACAATCCCTATTTAGGCCTATTTGGTCCCCTAGTTGGGACCGTAGGTATGAACCACCACACTCAGTTTATTGTGTGAGATGGGGTTTCAATAAACTCCTGCCTGGGCTAGCCTTCTGACCTCTGGCTGAAGGATACGTCTAATACTGGCCAACTATAATACTGTCTATGGACTAAATACTGCTGTGTAACTTTGATGAAAATGTGCCACTGTTTTACGAGAATGGCTGGATCCGTAAGAATTATCCACTTTAGGGGCTGGGAAGGCAGCTCAGTGGTAGAGCGCTTGCCTTGCATGCCTGAAGCCCTGGGTTCGATTCCCCAGCACCACATAAGCAAAAAGAAAAAAGCCGGAAGTGGTGCTATGGCTCAAGTGGTAGAGCGCTAGCCTTGAGTTGAAGAGCTGAGGGACAGTGCCCAGGCCCAGAGTTCAGGCCCCGCGACCAGACCCAAAAAAAAAAAAAAAAAATTATCCACTTTAGAGATATGTTTAAAAATTTCACTCAACTGATTCAGGAGAAAACACAGGAATAGGGAAAGGGTTGAAAAAACATTTTTTGACTTTGGAGGGTAGGAAAACAGATGCAGCTTTACGTAATGTGTGGTTCTTGACTAAGTGTGAACTGTATCAAAACTAAACTGCTCAAAGAACTACACAGAGATGGTATGCAGATGAGGCAAGTGGGTTTAATTAGCTTCCTACACAAACAGCAAACCAGCTGAAATGGCCGTGTGTGACAAGGGCCAGGGTGCTGCGACAGCAATGCTGTGGCAGGCTACAGGGTCACTGCAGGCCCGGCCCACGGAGATCCCAAGACAGGACTCCACGGGGTGTGCCTCCTTCATGGAGGTCCCAGGACAAGGCACTACAGTGCACACACCCCCTCCCACATACCAAGCAGAAAGGCAGCCACTTGGGTCTTACTGACCAACTGTGCCATCAAAGAAGGCACGTGTGCTCTCACCCGGGAGCTAAAAGGCCCTCCCGAGAACAGGATGGAGCCCCCACAGGGACACATCCACAGTGCTGTGCAGCAGGCAGAGGCTGCCCTGGGTATCAGAGTGAAGTCAAGTAAGTGATGTCATTCAGTGCTCTCCAGGAAGACATTGAGAACACTTGGCTCCTCTTAGGCCTATCCCCTGTGAGCACACACAGGGCCCAGCTCTAAGACCAGGTAGGAAGCTGTCCTGAACCTCTGGAAGGCCCTTAAAACCACAAGCAGCAGCCAAGCCCCACTCCCGCACCAGAACACAGGGCAGGACAGCAGCACAGGAGCACAGAGCTGACTCGCAGAAATGGCACTGTCAACACAGGGGCAAAGGACCCACCTGGGTTTTCCTCTCTGTCAGGGAACTTAATCTGGACATTGTAATCCCGAGTGATCTGCTGGATTCTGGAACCTTTGGGGCCCATGACAGATCGATGGAACTTCTGGGGTATAGCACATTCCACTGTGACTTGAGCTTCCTGAACAGAAGCACAAAGAAAAAAGAGCAGAGCTCAAAACCGTCAGGTCAATATTCCATCCTCTTTGGTGTCCTGGTGGGAGGGCCCACATGGCTGAGGAAGGCCTCCTGCAGGGAGAACCAACACAGACATGGCCAAGGAGGCAGCCTTCTTCCTGCAGAAGAGCCAGAGACAGAAAACACCGACTGCCTATAGCACAAACACCCTCAGCCATCTACCGCATAGCTTGAATAGAAAATATCTACTAAAAGTTGGGTGCTGGTGGCTCACGCCTGTCATCCTAGCTACTCAGGAGGCTGAGATCTGAGGACCAAGGTTCAAAGCCAGCCTGGGCAGGAAACCCTGTGAGACTCTCCAAAAAAGCACAGAAAACTGGAAGTGGTGCTGTGGCTCAAATAGTAGAGCGCTTTTCTTGAACTGAAGAGCTCAGGATTCCCTGAGCTTTGGCCCAGAATTCAGCCCACAACTGACAAAAAAAGAAAGAAAGAAAGATAGAAAAAGAAACTATCTAGTAAACACGGGAGGAGGAAGCACTGTCCCCCCAGAGCAAGCTGCGCCAAAGGCCCGTCCACGCAAGGTGGCCTTTTCTTGTTTCAGCCTTGGGCTCCCTGAGGCCACCAGGCCATCCCACAGAGGGCATCAGGCCCTGTGGGCGGCAGGCAGGGAGGAAGGTCCCGGAGGAAGGGACATGCACTTAAGACTGCTTTAGAAAACCCAGGTGCTCTCATGTGACTCTTCTACTGCTTCACCGATACCCTCCTATCCTTCAGTCTGGGCCCTTTGCTACAAAGAAAAAAAATAGGTCCTTTCTAGATCGTATTTTTTCCCCTCCCTCCCCCTACTCTCCCACCTCTTTCTTTCCTTCCTTTTGTGTGCTGGTACTGGGTTTGAACCCTGGTCTTGGCACTCTACCCTTTTGTGAAAAAGCTCAAGGTTGTGCTTCCACTGAGCCTCACCCTCAGACTGTTTTTGCTGGTTAACTGGACATTAGAGTCTCTCAGATTTGTCTTTCCCAGATGGTTTCGAATAAGGATTGTTGGATATTTTCTTTTCTTTTTTTTGTTGGTCGTGGGGCTTGAACTCTGGGCCTGGACACTGTCCCTCAGCTCTTCAGCTCAAGGCCAGTGCTCTACCCCTTGAGCCACAGCACCACTTTCCGTTTTCTGGTGGTTTACTGGAGCTAAGAGTCTCATGGACTTTCCTGCCCAGGCTGGCTCTGATGAACGATTCTCAGATCTCAGCCTCCTGAATAGCTAGGGTGACAGGCGTGAGCCACTGGCACCGGCTCATTAGATATTTTCTTAAAAACAAAAAGGCCGCTTGTCAGTCATTGTGAGGCCAGAAGCAGGGATGTGCTTGAGGCCCAGCAGCTACTCACTCCTGAGTGGACTTTGGAAATACGAGCCCGGCCAGGAACCCACCAGGTCCTCGATGATCTCCTGAATGCGCTTCTTGGCCGCCTCCACACAGTCCTTGGCGCCCTTGAGGGTGACCTTGTCACTCTGTGTGCCCGAGCGTGGGAAGCTGACCATCACCCCACCATATTCTTCAGCAATCTCCCTCAAAACCTGGCCTCTTCGTATAACAAAATGGCGGTGGTGCTTGGGTTCCACCAGCATGTAGTCTTCAACCACATTATCCTGAGGTGTTGAGAGAAGAAAATGAAACGTGCTCCCCCCCCCCCGCATGGCACGCACAGAGCGGCAGCCCAGGCCTGTGTCCTACCAGGTTCTGAATCAGGGCCTCCAGTTCCTTCTGTGCCTCGCGGACAGCGTCCTCCTTCCCTACGATGGTGATCAGGTCCTGGTCCTTGTCCTCAGCTACTGGGAATATGATGCGAGCTCCGGTGCTGTCACGTACCTTGCGGATCTTGCCACCCCCTTTGCCAATGAGGAATTTGTGGTATTCTGGCTTGGCTCGGATATCCACGGTGAAGCTCTTGGTTTGCTACAGAAATCAACTCCACATATATTAGCCCCACACCACCTGCCTGGAGCACAGCACAAGTGAATGAGAAAGCCTAGAGGACATGGCATGCGGTGAGCACCGCTAATTGTACAGCATCACACTCCCAAGGGGGGCCAACGGCACCTGACCTCACAAGACAGTCTGGGCAAAGAGGCCTAACTGTGGAGACACACAGAACTACAATTGCCACGAATCTGCGATGATCGGCATCTCCAAGCCACTGCCTGAGGGGCTCTACTGCAGACCTGCCTTCATCTACTGGCTTCCATACCAAACCAACACAAAGCACTGCTGGGCCAGCATCTTCCCTCCAGACTAGCCTAACTAAAAAACTCTCAGGCCAAGCTTGGGGCATCTCCAGCTACCAAGGCCACAGCTGCGAAGGGCTCTGCCAAGAAGGCAGAGCGCAGCAAAAGCTCTTGGAGTGCCTTCTGTATACCAGTGCTCCTGGCAAGAGTTAAACTGAAAAACAGAAAGCCACAAAGGCACATCCTGCTATTTTGTTTGTTCGTACCTGGAGCACACCATGAAGAATACAGAAAAAAACTGGCTAATATGTATAGCTTAAACAAAACCAATTTGGTTGAGGCAGATATTCACACACATCAACATTATTTCAAAGCCAATGCCTGGCCAGGCACTGGTAGCTCATTCCTTTATCCTAGCTACTGAAGAGGCTAAGATCTGAGAGTCCACGTTCAAAGCCAGCTTGGGCATCACCTTCAATTAACCACCAGAAAGGAAGTAGCTGTGGCTCAAGTGGTAGAGTATTAAAGTTCAGGAACAGTGCCCAGGCCCCAAGTTCAAGGCTCAGGACTGGCACACACACAAAAAAGCCAATGCCTATAATAACAACACTTGGGAAATAGAGGCAAGGGGACTGAAAGTCCCAGGTTACTCTGGGTTACAAACTAAGACTCTCAAAAAACTGAAATAATCATCAAAACCAAGAGATTGGTTAAATATACAAACAGAACACTAATGGTCTAAAAAAAAAAAAATTATAGCCAGGCACTGGTGGCTCACACCTGTAATCCTAGCTACTCAAGAGGCTGAGATTTGAAGATAGCAGTTCAAAGCCAGCCTGGGCAGGAAAGTCCATGAGACTCTTATCTCCAATAAAGCAAAGAAAAGCAGAAGTGGTGCTGTGGCTCAAGTGGTAGAAGAGCTCAGGGATAGCACCCAGGGCCAGAGTTCAAGCCCCATGACAACCAAAAAAAAAAATCAGAACCGAGTACTATGGCTCATGCAACATAGCTATATAAGAGGCTAAACTCTAAGAACTGAAGTTTGAAGCCAGGCTAAGCTGACAAATATGTGATTTGATCTTAACATCAATTAACTATAAAAAAAAAAAAAGCATGAAGTAGAGGCATATCATGTGGTAGAATACTGGTCATGAGCAGAAGAGAGATAAAGAAAGATGAGAAAGCCAGGTGCCAGTGGCTCAGGCCTGTAACCCTAGCTACTCAAGAGGCTGAGATCTGAGGATCTCAGTGGGAAGCCAACCTGGGCAGGACAGTCTATGAGAAACTGGAATTAGAGGTGTGCTCAAAGTGGTAGATCACTAGCTTTATGTGAAAAAAAA